CTGGCACAATTACTATACTATCTTATGAAGCCAATAAAATTACTTTAAACTTTAGCCTTTTTTGCCCCACATTATGTGACAGAGAAAAGGTGAAAGGTTTAATAGAAAGCTTATTAATGTTTATCATAAACCATGTCTGGTGCAATGTTTATATAACATTGATTTGTGCTTATAGTTATTTAACTGTAATAGAAACATATTATGCATGACCGAAGAGAATTTGTTAGATTCGTCGATTACTATCGAATACTCCAATGACTAATGTCGCATTTACAATAGTTTGTAGCTTTACATTAACTTTTTCTTGTCTGTTGCTTTTAATGGTAATGAATCAGTCTTATCATTCTTCAGTTTTATGTTTTCAATATCTAACTAACATTAACAATGTGATAGGCCAATTATGCATCAGTTGTCTAAGGTACATGATTATTCCCAGCGAAAGATTGGCACCAAACAAGCTAGAATGCGAAGATTTACTTTGCTAAAAGCTAAAAGGGCAAAGAAAACAACTAATACTACAGATCACCCACATACTAACAAGCGAACTTATTTGACAATTGGTTGCATTCCTAATTATAGAATTCCACTTTGCAACGTTACTCCACCTGTTTCCAACAGTTAATTAATTGATAAGATTGTAAGTGATGGTAAGAAAATGGATGCTATATTACGTGGTATTATGCCATCACCTCCAACACATATATGTCGTACACCGCACACAATATTTAATGCTCAAAACATGGGTACAAACCTTATGTCAAGGTTTTCTAATGGAGGGGGAATGTCACAAAAGGAGAATGTATTTGTCGACACTAATGCAGCAGTCCAAAACTCTTCAAATATTTTTCGGTACGTATTATTATGTATTTTATTCAAGCAAAAGCTACATTTTTTTAATGAAGTACCCTTTACAGGATTGATGCAAGATGCACTCCTCAACCTGTCAAAAGTGGTCGTGGTCGTCTGAAAAAAGCTCTTGGGGTACCGGATCTGATGTCCAATCTTATACGGAATGATATAACCAACCTTGTACCGCCACAACTTCAATTTACCAATGAAGCAACAAAGAATCCTATGTAAGTTTGTCCCCATGTGTATTACTCTGTTATCATTTTTCTGGTGTATTACATTGTTTCTAACTTTGAATTCTTTGCCAACAGTACTCAAAGAATTGCATCACCATCCATAACTCTCCATAACCGGTGCAAAGATCCAATAATAGCCACTGCAAGTTCACAAACAAGTTGTGTTATTTCTAAACCATATCATTATAGCTACATCAGTCAATCATATAGTCAATTGTAAGTGTATTGATTTTAAATCAAGAATGAAGTTGTTTGATGATGTGGTATATTATAATTCTATACACTTATATATGTTTATCCATGGGTGCAATAGAAATAAAATGAGAGGAACACGACCTTTATGGTTTCAAGAATCTAATGGCGAATCAAATACAATTGATGAGGGAAGCAACATTGCAGACACTATCTTTGCACCTACAGCTAATGCTGATTTTGATAGTGATGATACTGAAGACGACTCCGACAATGATCCGTTCGCAAGTTTATGCATTAACTTTAAAGGTTTTTTATTTTGATTATGTCTAGATTGTTTCCTAAATATGTATGCAACAATTGTTGGTTTCCATTCATTAATCTATATTTTCAGACTTGGATCTCCATTTCCATGATGTTGATTTTAACGCTTTGATATCTAAATCATAATTCATGAGTTTGTTATTGATTTTATGATAGCATATCAATTTGATAATGACTCAAACCTTGATGATGAACAAAGTTTCCCACCGTTTTCTACCGCCAACCAACCAAACCTACATAACCAAAGAAGTTATGTCTTTATTTGAAATTCTGAAATATGATCATATTAAATTATCAAATTTTTTTCTGTCATGCTATTCAACTTGCACATATTCTTACATATTTGCTTGAAGTCTCTTTTACCTTAGACTTATATGTTTACAAAAGTATTCTAATTACATGCTTTATAATGAATAGAAAATGGAATTACATTATTAAGGTATGATGACTCTCTAGAATCTGAGTTACTTAGTTTGTTATTGGTTTGTTGTTACGAGTTGAATTTGTTTGGAATTGGTTTTTATTTGGAATTGGAATTGAATTTGAGTCACTTGGTTTGTTATTGGTTTTTTTCATGACTAATTTTGTTTGGAATTATTATTATTTTACGGGTTAAACTTTTTCCCCACTAATGTCTTACGAGAATCATTTCCAATCTATGATTTTAACATTGACTGTGTTTGTTATTGTTTGTTGTTAGTTTGAATAGGAAATACCATCTTTTGAAAGAATAACGACTTTTAATACTAAGTTTTGCAATATGTACATCATATAGCGATTTGGGAGACCCTTTGATTGAGTGTAGATATTGTAAGGTCATGATGTGGTATCAATAAAGGATGCACAAACCTAAACATTCAGCGAATCCCAGTTTTTTTTAATGTTGTGGAAATGGTAAAGTTAAACTTCCTCTCTTAAATCATCCTCCACAACCTTTAGCACATCTCTTGTTTGATGCCAATGCAAGGGATAGTAAGAATTTTCAATCACACATAAGGACATAGTACATGATGTTTGCTTTCACTTCACTGGGAGCTAAGTTAGACAACAGATTTAATAATGGTCGTGGTCCACCAACAATAAAAATCCAAGGCCAAGCTTGCCACCGCATTGGAAGTTTACTGCCACTTGAAGGCCAACCACCCAAATTTGCCCAACTTTACATATATGATACAGAGAATGAAGTTACAAATAGAATGGACACTCTCAGGTATTCGATCATATTTTCTCTTTAATTTAACCATTTCATTTTGTCATACAAATTACTAACTTATATATTATATTTTTGTTGAGACAAAAACAACATTCATCCCGATATAATTGTTAAGAAACGTGGTTGGGCCTAACTCAACCCTACAAAACCGGTTAATAGAGTGAGAATTGCCCCCACTTATAAACACATGTTCGTGCCATATATTGTCCGATGTGGGACTATTAACACACCCCTCACGCTCAGGACTGGACAACTGAAGCGTGAAAATAAATGGTGGGTGGCCCGATAGCGGAAACCATAGAAGGTGGCCCACCGGATCTTAAACAAGGCTCTTAATACCATGTGAAGAAATGTGGTTGGGCCTAACTCAACCCTACGAAACCGGTTGGTAGAATGAGGATTGCCCCCACTTATAAACAGATGTTCATGTCATATATTGTCCGATGTGGGACTCTTAATTGTTAAGAGTCCCACATCGGACAATATATGGCATGAACATGTGTTTATAAGTGGGGACAATCCTCACTCTACCAACCAGTTTTGTAGGGTTGAGTTAGGCCCAACCACGTTTCTTAACATGGTATCAGAGCGTCGTTTAAGATCTGGCAGGCCACCTTCTACGGTTTTCGTTATCGGGCCATCCACCATTTATTTCCATACTTCAGTTGTCTACTCCTGAGCGTGAGAGGGTGTGTTAAGAGTCTCACATCGGAAAATATATGGCATGAACATGTGTTTATAAGTGGGGGTAATCCTCACTCTACCAATCGGTTTTGTAGGGTTGAGTTAGGCCCAACCACATTTCTTAACAATAATCCAAAACTTGTCAGATATGTTGTACCGACATAATACACATGCAAAAAGTTTCTTAATGGCTAGACAATGGCTTAATCAAAGTAATGTTTATAACTTGAAACTCAAATTAATATCCACAAGATCTACTGATGGAAGATTGTATAATCAACCAACTGTTTTAGAAGTGGCTGCTTTAATCGTTGGTGACATAGACACTGCTGAGGAAAGAGACATTATAGTACAGGCTAAAGGTGGACAACTGCAACGTATTGATGAGTTTCATCCAAGTTATTTGGCATTCCAGTATCCTTTGATTTTTCCTTATGGAGAGAATGGTTATAAAGATAACATTGCACATAGAGATCTTGATATTTTTGATGACTCTCAAAGGAACCGACTTATTATTCGAGAATGGCTAGCATTTAGAATACAAAGTAGGTGTAATGAGGCAAAAAATTTGTTATCATCTAGGAGATTGTTCCAACAGTTTTTGGTGGATGGTTACACAATTCTTGAAGGAGAGAAATTGAATTGGATCAGAACAGATTAATCCAAGCTAAGAGTGTCAAAGTATACAAGTCTACATTCAGAGCAAGATCAAGCATAGGGAAAATAGTCGTTTTACCATCATCTTGTGTTAGAAGTCGGAGATTTATGGATCAATTGTATTATGATGGCATGGCTATTTGTAGTAAGGTGGGATTTCCGAATCTTTTCATTACTTTCACATGCAACCCAAATTGGCTGGAAATTCAACGATTGCTTGGTCCTCTAAATTTGAAGCCACAAGATAGACCTGATATCATTGCAAGAGTTTTTAAGATGAATTTTGATAACCTTCTAGCAGATGTGACCAAAAAAGGAGTCTTAGGCAAAGTTCTTGCATGTAAGTTTACTATGTCATACCAATTGCTTTAACTTACTATCCTTTAAAATTATCTAGGAATTTCAAGCCAGACATGACATGTTACAACATATTTATCTTACAATTGTTCTTATTTCTAGATATGTACACAATTGAGTTCCAAAAGAGAGGTCTTCCGCATGCGCACATTCTTATCTTCTTGCATCCATCAAATAAATATCCTACTCCTGAAGACATAGACAAAATCATTTCTGCTGAAGTTCCTGATCCTTTGAGTCAACCAAAACTGTATAATCTGGTCAAAACTCACATGGTGCATGGTCCCTGTGGGTTAGAAAATCCTAGATGTCCTTGTATGAAAGATGGTAAATGTTCCAAGTATTATCCTAAAAAGTTCCAAGATGTCACAATTGTTGATCAAGATGGATATCCTGTTTATAGAAGGAGAGATTAAGGTAATACAATTGAAAAGAATGGAGTCACCCTACATAGTGGTCACGTTGTACCCCACAACCCAAGTTTGTTGATGAAATACGAGGCACACATTAATATAGAGTGGTGCAATCAAAGTACTTCAATTAAATATCTCTTCAAGTACATCAACAAGGGTTCTGATAGGATCTCGGCTGTTATTGTTCCAAACAACACTGGAACCGATGGAAATATTGATGAAATCAAACAATACCTTGATTGTCGATATGTCTCACCAAGCGAAACATGTTGGAGAATCTTCTCTTATTCAATTTATGGCAGGAAACTAACTGTTGAAAGGTTATTTTTTCACATGGAAGGAGAGAATTCTGTATACTACAAAGATTTTGAACATATTAGAACTCTCCTTCTTAAACCAAGTGTCATAGAATCAATGTTTACTTCTTGGTTTGTGGCAAATACTCGGTATGAAGAGGCAAAGTTATTAACATATAGTCATTTTGTGTCCAAGTTTGTTTATGACAAGAAGAAAAAGGTGTTGGAAACTGCGTAAAAGAGGTTACACAATTGGCCGACTAATTTGGGTCCCGCCAACAACTGGAGGATTGTATTATATGAGGATGTTGTTGACTATGAAGAAAGGTCCGACAAGTTATGATGATTTAAAGACAATTGATGGGTTCAAACACAAAAGTTTTAGAGAGGCATGTTTTGCATTGGGCTTCCTACAAGATGACAAAAAGTTCACTGACGCAATTAAAGAGGCTTATAATTAGGGTTCTGGAGTATTTTTGCGTAAACTGTTCGTTACAATGTTATTATCATCTTTAATGAATCGACCAGAACATGTTTGGTTAAAGACTTGGATGTACCTATCAGATGGTATTATATATGAACAAAGAATATTGTCACAAAATCTAGGTTTGATTATTATATATTTGTTGCTTCTTTGTAACAACATCTGTTCTTTTATCCTCTTCATCTTATTGTTTAGAACTGTGTTACTCACAACACTATAGATTCTATACATGTTAATTTCAACAAAGTATCAATACTTACTTAACCTCTACCTTTATTTGTAGAATTGAATTTTTCTGATGAAGATATGCAACAACTCACTTTGATGGAAATTGAGAAGCAACTACAAAAAAATAGAAGGAGTTTGAAAGAATTTAAGCCTATGCCATATCCAAATAATTACATCCTTAACTTTCTTGGAAATAGATTGATATATGATGAAAGACAATATGATCTCTCGGTTCAAGAAGAAATTTTCCATACTATGTTTCAATCATTAACAAGTATTATTTTTATAATCTGACCTTCTAATTATTTATTGAAACAATATCCGAAATTTAGTGCATACGCCGTGTTTGTTCATAATATTATGCTTTTCTTTTATTGCCTCGAATTAGCCTTATAAGGAAGTCTATAATTATTAGCACAAAACTACATAAGCATAAATGCTAATCACATTGATATGGTCATTGTTGTCATTATGTTATTAAGATTTGAAAATTTTACAGATTTGCTTATTTAAATTGTTTTCATGATGCAACGCTATTGGTGTTTTGTTTTTTTTATTGTAGATGAGCAGCTTAAAATCTTTAAAGAAGTTATGGATGTTGTCACAAATCAAAATGGTGGTGTTTTTTTTCCTATATGGTTATGGTGGTACAGAAAAGACTTTCATGTGGAACACATTATCTGCTGCTCTACGTTGTAAAGGAGATATTGTGTTGAATGTAACATCTAGCAAAATAACAAGTTTGTTGTTACCAGAAGGAAGAACTGCACATTCCAAATTCAAGATTCCAGTTCCATGTTTGGAATCTTCTATATGTAACATAGAGAAAAATTCTGATCTTGCCAATCTCTTAAAGGTAACAAAACTAATAATATGGGATGAGACACCAATGGCAAATAAATATTATTTTGAAGCTCTTGATAAGTCATTGAAGGATATTATGAGTGATGACGATGTTGAATGTCAGCAGATTTTTGGAGGAAAAGTTGTAGTTTTTGGTGGAGTTTTGAGACAAATTCTACCAGTTGTTCCAAGAGGTACTAGATCAGATATAGTACATGCAACAATAAATGCCTCTTACATTTAGGATCATTGCAAGGTTATGAATCTAACCAAAAATATGCGTTTGCAAAGTGGTTCTAATTTAGGCAATTCAGAAGAAATTATACTCTTCTCAGATTGGATTTTACAAGTTGGTAATGGAAAGGTCTCAGAACCCAATGATGGATATGTTGAAATTGATATTCCTGAAGAGTTACTTATAAGAGATTTTGTGGACCCAATTGAAGCAATTGTTTCAAGTACCTATCCGAATCTGCTTCAAAATTACACGGATCCAAATTTTCTTCAGTGTAGAGCTATTCTAGCATCAACTATTGAAATAGTTGATGACATAAATGACTTCATAACTAATATTCTTCCAAGTATACTTCATAACTAATCTTCTTCCAAGTATACTTCATTTTCTATTATAACTATATTTTCTAATTTTTTCATACAATGTGTCTTTGGATGTACATATGTATATACTATTTTGATATGTACATACTACTATATTATTTTTCATACTATTTTTTATACATATTATATATATATATATATACATATATATATATATATATATATATATATATATATATATATATATATATATATATATATTAATACTTAATTTTGATTTCATGTAGGTGAATCTAAAGAATATTTGAGTTGTGATTCCATTGATAGATCAGAAGCTAATGACAATTATGCTTTCGAGCATTTGACACCGGAATTTTTGAGTTGTCTAAAAACTTCCGGTTTGCCTAACCACTCGTTGAAATTGAAGGCTGGTACAATCATCATGTTGGTAAGAAATTTGGATCAATCTGAAGGCCTTTGTAATGGTACAAGGTTAACAGTTACGAAGTTAGGCAATCATGTCATTGAAGCAAAGATCATTTCAGGTACAAATATTGGAAACATTATTTATATCCCGAGAATGTCTTTGTCTCCTTCCCAATCTCCATGGCCATTTAAACTTATCAGAAGACAATTTCCAATTATAGTGTCATTTGCTATGACAATCAACAAATCTCAAGGACAATCGTTGGACTATGTTGGATTATATTTGTCAAAGAATGTTTTCAGTCATGGACAACTTTATGTTGCCATTTCAAGGGTTAAGAGCAAAGCTGGGTTGAAAGTTTTAATACACGACAAAGACAACAACTACTTAACTCAAACAACAAATGTTGTCTTCAAAGAAGTTTTCCACAATGTCATATAGGTACATATTTAGTTTTTGAATAACATTATTTTTTCTTACTATCAAACTAAAATCTTCATCTCTATATTTACCTTCAAGTAAAATAATTTGATACTCAAATTTATATTTTACTTCATGCTTATATAATTCATTAGTTCGACATCTCATATTTTCTTAGATAGTTCTAATATTTCATTAATTATTGATTTTATTTTATATTTGTAGGTTTTGTAATTCCCTCTTGCTTCATACAAGTCTTACTACATCATTTCAATCTACAATGTTATCTGCACTTTGTTACTAAATTTCTTTTCTTGGACATACTATGCTTCAGATATTAAAAGTTATTGTATTTTTATGACATTAAATATATCCACTATTATGAAAGGGCAAAAACAATTTTGATAGATAGGAGACACCGATCAACCTTAAGTAAATAGTTGATAATGAAAATTTAGCACATTAAATAGAACCACGCACTTATTTTCAAGAATTTTTTTTTAAAGTAGCAATGTATTAATTTTTATTTACCAAATAAATCACTATTTCAAAAATATTACCAAATTGGCAATGTTTGAAAATGGACTAACACGCGTTCGCCAAAGCAATTGGCGAATTAGGCCAAATGGGCTTCAAGGCATTCGCCAAACCAATTGACGACATTGTCTATTTTGTGGGCATTCACCACACCAATTGGCGAATTGGTTATACTGATTAGGGTTTTCGTTTTCATGCTTTTTTGATTTTAGTTATTATTATTATTAACCATAAAATATATAAATTTATAATCTAATTAATATTTATATAATTAATATTAATTTATAATATAATTTATAATGTCATCTATAATATTAAAAAAATAAATTTTAAAAGGTTAAATTATTTTATGAAATTATAAATTTAAAATAAATTGGGTTGCTTGCTAAATCGCCCAGCTAGGGTTTTAAACTTTCCTTATATATTTTTGGGGTGACATTCATCAATGGATGTATAGCCACCCCAGTAGTAATCACTTTGTCATCAAATGCGCATTTCACCTTGCTAGCTTGGGTTTGATCCCTGAGGAGGATCAATCCTTTTGTATAATATGTTTTTACTTTTTTTTGCATTTTATTTTCACTTGTTGTGGTGTATTTGCGCACTAACTTATCGTTTTTTAATTATCATTTTTTTTGCTATAAATACGAGCTCAAACACATGTTTTTTTCACAACATTATTTCCTAAAAGACTAAAGCGGTAGTGAGGTTTGAGTTGAGCGGAGTCCATAATGTCTGCATTTCTGAATCAACGTTCTTCTTCTTCGTCATCAGCATCGGAGGAACCTTTTCCAACGTTTGATATAATGAAAAGAAATGTCGTTGTGGTGTTTTCAGCAACAAAGCCTCAGATGAAGGTGCTCCTGTGGAATACGCAGACGTTGGAGCACTTGCACAGGGAACTGAACTGCTGGCTAGAAGGGGATATTGCTCCAGGAGAAAAGATTAGGAAAATTGAGAGGTTGGTGGAGAAGACCGATAGAAACGGAGTTACTCGTGAATGGAGAAAAATGGAAAATGATGTCGGCGTCCTTGTGATGATGTTGACACCAAAGGAGATAAAGTTGATGGGCGTGATATCGTAGACGCTCTGTTCCGGTGTTTTGGTGTATCTTTTTAATTTGTTGTTATGTTTGTTTAATTTATGAAAGTTAACTCTGCTTGTAATAGAAGGAAATTTGCAGTTACCTCTGCTTGTAATAGAAGGAAATTTGCAGTTACCTCTGCCTGTAATAGCATGAAATTTGATTTTAATCAAATGAAAGTTACTATTGAATTAAATGGACACGTTTACAAATGAAACTATGATTTGCTGCTCGGACCTACGTTTGGACACGTCGTACGATTGTGTCCTGGTTGCCGACACGAACTACACAATCTCACTAGCTTATCCGAGGTATCCATCTCGGTTCGTATGCGCGTGCTGTTAGGCCGACCCTTCTTTTTTCTGCGCATCAAGTCATTATGCCAAACAATTTGGCCTTCGTATTCGGGCCAATAGTCCTCCTTTGCCAACACCTGAAAACTGCATGAGTAGACATTGCATAGACTTATGACTCGGTGAACTGCAGAAAGAAGGTTGGTTGGGTCCTGGCGCGCCTTCGAACAAGCTGCTATGACATGAGAGCAAGGCATACGGAATGCTTGAAACTTTCCACAATCACACCAGCTCTTATCTAATTCAACACGATAACATCCCCTGGGTCTTCCTTCATTGTGATCTATAGCCTCGGCAACACTG